TTAGTGTTCTTCTCCCTCCTAATGGATCAGCTACCACATCAAATATCGTATATCCGGTGGTGTTGTTGGACTCGGTGTAAATATTACTACCTTTCTTAATGTATTGCAACTTACGTCAGGTCTAGCTTCTTGACTTTTGTTATAGTTTTAATAGCTTCTTCCACACATGTATGATGATAAATTTTCAATGACTATATGTTTGTTTTTTGAATTCATGACCATCTGTGTTCAATGATTAAATTTTTTTTTAATCATTAGTACATGGTTTAGTTGAAGGAGTATTTATCTATGATATTTGTTCCCAATTTTTGGTAGTTATTTGTCTATGAATAAAATTTATCTTTGCGTTAATGACGTGTTAAGGAATCAGTAATCCTTCATCTCTTTTTTTTTATTCCTCCCTCTTTCACTCCTCTCTCTCTCTCTCTCTGTATTACTCCCTTTCTCTCTCTATTAGGGCATCTCCAACAACACCACTAATTAAACTATTGTCCACGTAATACATGCACAAACACACACACAACTGCAACCAATCAAACACTCGCGCATCAAATTCACACACCACTATACTACCACCAATACAGATTTATGATTGAAATCATTAGGCAAATGAACCATTTGTTGAAATGCTACATATAAATACTATGCGTTCTTTCACTCCTACATCACGCCCAATTCGATAGGACCTTGATTAAACATGTCTGCTTGGTACAGGTTGAGAAGGGTCAGAGGACGGTAAAATGATGGGCCTAACTTTTGAATGAGTATGGATATTGAGCTTAAGATCTTATTTGAGGTTTGATTATTGAAAATATTATTTTCCATCCTTAGGTGGATTGCTTTTTTTTTTTTTGGGTTTGGATTTTGGTAAAACTTAATTTGTTTATATTTCTTTTGTTGTAGTAAATGGTAAGATTTGCTTGCAAATTTCTTTTTTATATTATAGCAAAATTGAAACTTTAATTGCCCATTTTGGAATTATTGGATTTGAAATTTTGTTTTGGCATTGGACTTGACAAGGTTAGGTCATGTGTATACATTTTCTTTCTTCTGGATTTTATCTTTTGAGCAACCTATATTGTTGTGGGAATGCTTTTAGTTTATTTTATAAAGTGTTGGAAGCTATCAGGATAATAAGCTTGACATTCTAATTCTCTGTTTTGCATTGAATTTGTCCAATGAGTTTTTACTAAATAATTGCACTAAGCCGAGGAAATTGACAAAAATATTTGCACCGCTTATAGGGGCATAGGTTGGTAGAGGCTGGCTATAAGCTTGGCATTCTAATTGCACCACGCATAATGATTTTTCTTCATTGGTTTGACAGTTGAGTTAGTTTCCATGTTTAAATTTTGTGCGAATGAGAATTTTAGGGGGGTTTTGAATGGAGGGTTTACGAATTACATCAAAACTAAAGTATTAGTGATTGGAATAATAATTATGTTTCATTTTTTCCCATATGAATGATAAAGCTAATAGTAGTTTTTCAATAAGCTCAGAACTGCATATTGCAAATCACCGATTGTTGCCGAAAAACTCATTACCAGCAAAGATGTNTTTATCTTTGCGTTAATGACGTGTTAAGGAATCAGTAATCCTTCATCTCTTTTTTTTATTCCTCCCTCTTTCACTCCTCTCTCTCTCTCTCTCTCTCTCTCTCTCTCTGTATTACTCCCTTTCTCTCTCTATTAGGCNTTTCCACTAACCAATATCACTCGCATTTTTCATCTCATATTCTAAGAAACATACTTGCTTATTTCTCTAAAATGTGTTTGTGGCACTTGCAACAAAAATTGGGACAGTGCNTTATTTTATAAAGTGTTGGAAGCTATCAGGATAATAAGCTTGACATTCTAATTCTCTGTTTTGCATTGAATTTGTCCAATGAGTTTTTACTAAATAATTGCACTAAGCCGAGGAAATTGACAAAAATATTTGCACCGCTTATAGGGGCATGGGTTGGTAGAGGCTGGCTATAAGCTTGGCATTCTAATTGCACCACGCATAATGATTTTTCTTCATTGGTTTGACAGTTGAGTTAGTTTCCATGTTTAAATTTTGTGCGAATGAGAATTTTAGGGGGGTTTTGAATGGAGGGTTTACGAATTACATCAAAACTAAAGTATTAGTGATTGGAATAATAATTATGTTTCATTTTTTCCCATATGAATGATAAAGCTAATAGTAGTTTTTCAATAAGCTCAGAACTGCATATTGCAAATCACCGATTGTTGCCGAAAAACTCATTACCAGCAAAGATGTCGCTAAGAATTTCACATGACACCACTACACAAGTAAGACAATTTTCCCTCTCATTTCATTTCTTCTCTCTTAAAGCCCCAAGTTTGTTGGTGGTTCACTAAAATATAGTTGGTTTTTGTTTTACAGTTGGAAAAGAGATTGTGGGTTTATTGGGTCATATTTGGTTCCAAAGTCTTGTTGAGTGAGATGGTTTTCCACTAACCAATATCACTCGCATTTTTCATCTCATATTCTAAGAAACATACTTGCTTATTTCTCTAAAATGTGTTTGTGGCACTTGCAACAAAAATTGGGACAGTGCTATAATTATCAATTTTATGTTGAATCCAACTAACAATAAAAGTAAGGGGTCTTATGTTTTGGATTTACAATTGTTTTATTTTGCCTCACATATTTTGATAATTGATTATATTTCAAATATTTTTAGGTATACATGAAAGGATATGAAGATGAAGTTGAATATGTTTTTCTATTTGTGCATATGTGTATTTTTTGTGTTCTTTTTTTTGTACAGTTAACTAATTATACATGATTTTGTTTTGGTGGTTTGGATAAACATGGTTATGATGATTGTGGTGATATGTATAATTGTAAGTTTTATACACAAGTTTAGATTTTTTTTTGCTTCTATTTTTAGAGGAAACTCTACCCAAATTTCTTGAAATTAGTAGGGATTAGTTTAATGTTTTGGTGGTTGGATATGTGTTGATAATTGGGTATGTATTGATTGTTGCAGTAGTATGGTGAATTATTGTAAGTTTTATAGACAGGTTTAGATTTTTTTGGACTTCTATTTTTAGATGAAACTTTGCCCAAATTTCTTGAAATTAGTAGGGATTAGCTTGTTGTTTTGGTGGTTGGATATGTGTTGATGATTGAGTATGTATTGATTATTGTGGTAGTATGGTGAATTATTGTAAGTTTTATAGACAGATTTAAATTTTTTTGGGTTTCTATTTTTAGAGAAAACTCTGCCCAAATTTCTTGAAATTAGTAGGGATTAGCTTGATGTTTTAGTGGTTGGATATGTGTTGATGATTGGGTATGTATTGATTATTGTGGTGGTATGATGAATTATTATAGGTTTTATAGACATGTTTAGATTTTTTTGGACATCTATTTTTAGAGGAAACTCTGTCCAAATTTCTTGAAATTAGTAGGGATTAGCTTGATGTTTTAGTGGTTGGATATGTGTTGATGATTGGGTATGTATTGATTATTGTGGTGGTATGATGAATTATTATAGGTTTTATAGACATGTTTAGATTTTTTTGGACATCTATTTTTAGAGGAAACTCTGTCCAAATTTCTTGAAATTAGTAGGGATTAGCTTGATGTTTTGATGGTTGGATATTTGTTGATGATTGAGTATGTATTGATTATTGTGGTGATATGGTGAATTATTGTAAGTTTTATAGACAAGTTTATATTTTTTTGGACTTTTATTTTTAAAGGAAACTCTACCCAAATTTTTTGAAATTAGTAGGGATTAGCTTGATGTTTTGGTGGTTGGATATGTGTTGATGATTGAGTATGTATTGATTATTGTGGTAATATGGTGAATTATGATGATTGTAAGTTCTGTAGACAGATTTACATTTTTATGGGTTCTTATTTTTAGAGAAAATTTCTGAATATTAGTATGGACTATCTTGATTTCAAATGTAGGATTCTTCAAGTTTTAGATTGCATGACACTACCTTGATTTCGTTACGCCGTGTCTTCAAGCACGAGCAATTACTAGTAGATAGATATGAGAGAAAAAAGATTAACTTCTTTTTAAGGAAAAATATTTTTGAGATTAAAAAAAAAAAGTGAACTTAAGTCATTACATATAATTTTAAACATGGATTTAGCCCCTTATAAGTTTCCCTGCAAGACTTATCTCCAAACAAGTATATCTAAATGGACTTACTTCCAATTTTCACTATAAAATTTTCATTGTGTAACCCCTAATATTGTTTGAATGTGCAATTTTAAAGGGTTTACAACATGTGGTTATGTTATGTCGAGTTCGTGTCATGTTAGTTAAATTAGTGTTTATTTATTTATTTGACACGTCTAAAAAATCAACTTATTTATCACTAAAATTCGTTAAGATTAAATCTAAACTCACTAAATTTTGTGTCGAGAAAACTACAATATCCAAAAAAAACCGGTCCTCAAAAATACCAAAAAAGCATTTTGGACTTAAATTCGAATGTCACTTATTTTTGAAGAACATTCATATAGAAAATGTTATAAAATTTAAATAAAATATAAAAATTATAACTCAAATATAAATCATTCTTTGAATGAATGAGTCCCGTCAAAATCTACTCATTCAAAAAATAATATANTTATGTCGAGTTCGTGTCATGTTAGTTAAATTAGTGTTTATTTATTTATTTGACACGTCTAAAAAATCAACTTATTTATCACTAAAATTCGTTAAGATTAAATCTAAACTCACTAAATTTTGTGTCGAGAAAACTACAATATCCAAAAAAAACCGGTCCTCAAAAATACCAAAAAAGCATTTTGGACTTAAATTCGAATGTCACTTATTTTTGAAGAACATTCATATAGAAAATGTTATAAAATTTAAATAAAATATAAAAATTATAACTCAAATGTAAATCATTCTTTGAATGAATGAGTCCCGTCAAAATCTACTCATTCAAAAAATAATATACATTTATGTCACAATTTTTATAGTTTTAATTAAATTATGTTGCATTTCTCTATTATTCTTCATGCTATATCAGTACAACAACCAAACACAAATTACAAACCAACCTGTATGCAAAAGAGAAATATTCTAGTGTTCCGGTGGAGGAAGACTTATCATGATCTTGAATGGCATTTGTCCTTGTAAATACTTCCATCCCGGCAATCAAGGGTGGTAGGGTGGACCCATTATTGGGGGCCAAGGTTATATTGATTGTGGGACCTTCTACCACCACAGGGTACATGGTGACCACCTTGTTCTTGCCAAAATCTGGTGCTGCCACGATCTCCTCGTTCTGGTCGTTGATCTTGATCAGCATAGTCCTCGTAACGTTGGGACTACGCCNTCTCTATTATTCTTCATGCTATATCAGTACAACAACCAAACACAAATTACAAACCAACCTGTATGCAAAAGAGAAATATTCTAGTGTTCCGGTGGAGGAAGACTTATCATGATCTTGAATGGCATTTGTCCTTGTAAATACTTCCATCCCGGCAATCAAGGGTGGTAGGGTGGACCCATTATTGGGGGCCAAGGTTATATTGATTGTGGGACCTTCTACCATCACAGGGTACATGGTGACCACCTTGTTCTTGCCAAAATCTGGTGCTGCCACGATCTCATCGTTCTGGTCGTTGATCTTGATCAGCATAGTCCTCGTAACGTTGGGACTACGCTGAATATTTTCTGTGAAATAAAACACAAAGTAGGCCGGTTGTGGGGTCCTTTGAGGCAGATCAACGGTCAGGATGATGGGATCAGAATTATTGGATTGGATGGAGTCCAACAACACTGTATAAGGAGGGTCATTTTCTGTGACAGAGTTTGAATCTGGTAGAGTAGGGACATTCACACAGTTTAAAGGTGTGGATCCTTTTGTCCATATACGATTGTACTTTTCGTCCAGATATACCCCTGAGTACCTGTCAATCATTGGTTGATAATCAAAAATGGTAATCGAAAAGTGGGAAATTTTGTTTAAACGATAATAAAGACTCATCGTAAATTCGAACATCTTAAATTTAAATATTAGTAACCTTTTAAGCAATGCATTTTTTTCTTGGTTTAGTGGTTAAGAGTGTTCAAATTATTTTATGTGCATTTTAACTAATTTTTTCTCTAGTTTAATTAAAAACAGACAGTCAACGTTGGAATTAGAGTATTCATGAANTAGAGTAGGGACATTCACACAGTTTAAAGGTGTGGATCCTTTTGTCCATATACGATTGTACTTTTCGTCCAGATATACCCCTGAGTACCTGTCAATCATTGGTTGATAATCAAAAATGGTAATCGAAAAGTGGAAAATTTTGTTTAAACGATAATAAAAACTCGTCGTAAATTCAAACATCTTAAATTTAAATATTAGTAACCTTTTAAGCAATGCATTTTTTTTCTTGGTTTAGTGGTTAAGAGTGTTCAAATTATCTTATGTGCATTTTAACTAATTTTTTCTCCAGTTTAATTAAAAACAGACAGTCAACGTTGAAATTAAAGTATTCATGAGGAATAAATTATTTATGGTCTAATCTCAAGAGGTTGTTAAAATTCAAACTCAATCAAAAAGAGAAAACTACGTAGAAGGGATGTTTCACATACCTGACTTCATCACCACCCAAATTGGTCCTAGTAAGCAGATGGAATGTAGCATTAGTCTCCATCTTGGGATACAAATTGGCCCATAAAGGCACAACTTGTATTAAGGAAACAAATGGAACCTCTCCTTCTCGGGTCTGTTTGACACATATTTTGAAATACCCTGACCCATGAGTGACATAAATGGCTTCATGGTACACCGGACCTCCTCCGGTCGACGATGTGTCGACAGTAGCCCATTTTTCATTGTCGATATACAAATCAAATGTTGGAAAGTTAGAAAGATTGTCGTAGTTGCCATAATAGAACCCAACACGAACTAGATATCGGAGTGTTTGTTTGTATGCTGGAACTATGTAACAATTTTGTTCCGCCCTATTAGGGAAGAATCGGAGAGTGTTCATTTCTTCGAGTGGTTGTTTTTCTAATACTAGATTGTTTGTGCCGGTTTGTGTGTAGTCCTCGTCTGACTCCCAAACAATCAAGTCATCCCCAATGCGTAATTCATCTGTTCCACAATCAATGCTATACCAACCAAGCGTTTCTACAAATGAAAATGAAGTTTTAGCTACAAATAGCACAATGGACATAAGAGATTCTTATATCCAAAACTGAAAAGTTGGGATAAAATTTTATCGATTCAACAAGAAGTAATGACTTAAGAGTAATTCAACAAGTAGACCTTCGACATACAACCCAAGACTTCAAATTGCCCAATAGTCCAACTACAAGATTCTTGTGTATTTTAATATACTGTTCGTATATGAATAATTTTTTTCCCGTTTAACAATAATTTAATGCACAAATCTTTGAAGATAGCTGAAAGACTACTGTATTTCAGATACAGATTCTCTCTAATACATTTTCTCTTCTTGACGGATCTATTCTACTAATCAGTAAAGGTTTCACTTGCATACAACGGATCCTCACTTGAATGAATAATGAGTAATTCGTCAAGAAAGAAGTTGAATAGAAAATGTATTTAAGAAAATCTCACTTCCTGTATTTTGGGCCACTCAGTATACAATAATGGCCACTCGGACCTCGAGGTTTCACTCCGAGATAGGCCAATATGTTCAAATGGGGTGAAGAAAGAGTATTGTAGTTCTTAATTCAACGAAATATTAACTGATTTCACCAAGTATTAGATCTTGAAAAGATTCATTTATTGTTCAAAGTTCAAGGTGACCAATGTCAGAGATATCTATCGAATGAATCTTATATGCACTTATATTTTTATATATGCACATATATACAACTATATGAGGGTATGCCCATGTAGTTATTCTTGTGAAGGGAGTTGGCTGATTATTTGAGAGAAAAATCAAGATTAATAATGATATTTCATAAGTATAGGCAATTGAGTGAAGCTAAGAAGTGAGTTATGGGCGTTTTAGGAATAGACATCAAACCATCTACTTTTCCTTCATTAAAAGTATATGTATAACGAAAAAAAAAAAAAAAACCAAAATGAAGTTCTTAAACTTAAGAGTAATTCTACGTAGATTTAAAAATTAGACTTGATAATGTCAACCATTGAATAGGTAGTAGGTCCCAATAAATACTAGGACCTACAGGGAAATCAATGGTTGAAATTATCAAGTCTAGTTTTTAAGTCTACTTTTTAAGTTCATGCAGTATTGCATAATAACGGTCTTAAAGTTGAACCGGCGACATAATTACCCTAAGAATAAGATCCAAAACCAAAGAGAAATAAAAAGTTAAAGAATAGGTTATACGCTGAGAAGAAGCTTTAAGCAATTGTAAGGCCAAGAAAACCAACAGTATCCATCCTGCCTTCTCCATGGAGAGAGAGAGAGAGAGAGAGAGAGAGAGACTCAAGGAATATGACGAGTTGAAGGGAGTATATATAGCGGGGGTAAGTCAAACAAGGAGAAATTAATTCTAGTTGTCGAGGGCAATCCCCTTGTGATCTTCACCATCAACAAGCACTTTGCCTTGTTGATAAGTTTCCTGGTCATAGAAATTGACTTTTCTTCTTGAGTTCTATGAAACATCCAAATCCATATCATTGTAAGCTTCAACTATCTATACAGTTCACTGGGCCAACTCTCTTTTCAGATGTAGTAAGCTCCGTCTCTTCTCTGTTTTGGGTTGATTTTCGACTAGTGAATGCAAACCCCAAGAAATTGGATATTCAAAGAAAAGAAAAAAAAAAAGAATCCAAACCCAAAACTGCAAATTACAGTTCTTGTAAAAAAAAAGCTGTCCACAACCCTTATGGACGGTTAAGTGGTTGAGCGCCTTGAGCCTGATATTTGGTAAAATAGATATCTCATGTTCAATTTTTTCTCACATCTCCTAAGAGCCCTCTTTGTCCCCAAGGAACATGTTCTAACACAATTCAAGCCATGGTAGTTAGTCGTTGAACTCGAGAGAATAATTAATACAAGTTTAAACACTCTGTATATCAAAAAAAAAGTGTCCANGACGGTTAAGTGGTTGAGCGCCTTGAGCCTGATATTTGGTAAAATAGATATCTCATGTTCAATTTTTTCTCACATCTCCTAAGAGCCCTCTTTGTCCCTAAAGAACATGTTCTAACACAATTCAAGCCACGGTGGTTAGTCGTTGAATTCGAGAGAATAATTAGTACAAGTCTGAACACTCTGGATATCAAAAAAAAAGTGTCCAATTGAGCTTTGGTTGATCTTTATACAAGACAAATTGTTTTGTTCAGTCACATAATACTACATGATACTCCATTCTCATAATGTTTTGTTGTTCATCTCCTCTTGGCTTCCATAGCCTAAAATATTTTGGATTCAAATCCATTGGATTACGAATTCCTTCAATATTTGATGTTCGACCATGAATGTAATGTTATGCTTTTTAAATTTTTTTACCAAATTTTTATACTAAATTAAGTGACATAATTTTTCACCATCAGATAAATGGATTCTATTATTAGTCAACGAGGAAGATTCTATTACATCATTTAGGATAAAAAATTTGATAAGACGNGATTACGAATTCCTTCAATATTTGATGTTCGACCATGAATGTAATGTTATGCTTTTTGAATTTTTTTACCAAATTTTTATACTAAATAAAGTGACATAATTTTTCACCATCAGATAAGTGGATTCTATTATTAGTCAACGAGGAAGATTCTATTACATCATTTAGGATAAAAAATTTGATAAGACGCATTTTGTATAAATCGAGTCACAGTCAATACATAGTTTCACAAAGTTACATAGCGTAAGTCATGTGATATTCAAATGATTACCCACCAAAAAAAAAGGGTGAGTGAGGCCCATAAGCTAGTGTTAAGCATACAGGTCCTTCATTGAAAAGTTATAAGTTAAAAAAAGAAAGGTCCTTCGTACCACCAAATAAATTTTGGTACTATACCTTAAAATTTTATTATTTTAAATGGTTTATTTATAACTTATATGGGTCATTTTATAATTTAAAAAATTATTATTTTTGTGGTTATTTTTATCAATATTGTGGTAATTATTTTTATCACTTTTATTTGGTACAAAAAATTTTACCATTTTTTTGGATACCACAATAATAATAAAAACACCAACAACAGTAATAAAAATACNTTTATAATTTAAAAAATTATTATTTTTGTGGTTATTTTTATCAATATTGTGGTAATTATTTTTATCACTTTTATTTGGTACAAAAAATTTTACCATTTTTATAGATGATTTACCATTTTTTTGGATACCACAATAATAATAAAAACACCAACAACAGTAATAAAAATATCCACAAATGTAATAAATTTCGATACTATAGTTAAGTCTAATAGGCTAATGCTATTTCCAATGTTTTTTGGTTGCACTAGCGTGGAAATACTACCCTCGTTGGACAACTTCATATGAGAAGTGGTAGAATCCAACGGGGAATTATGCCAAACATTGTCGTACTCAGTGCATTGGGTTATTGATTAATGAATTGAATTTTGATCTGCATATGAATTCGAAATTTGATTAGTTAGATATGTAATTAGTGTTTCTAATTAATTATTCTAATATGAATCCTTTATTTCATGATTTATAGATTAGAATTTGGATGGATAGATATCCGACTTTATTGTGATCCAATTTGAATTATATTATATACAATAAATAGTTTGGGGTGGCTCAAAATAATTTAAGACTTAAAGCAAAAATACTAAATAAGGCTCTTTTATTTTTAAATATTAGTTTTTTAAAAAATTAATTAATTATTATTATTAATTAATTTTTAATTTATTATGTGAGAAAGAGACAGAAAAATGATGTGCTAGTGTTATCAAGAAAAATGTTGNATACTAAATAAGGCTCTTTTATTTTTAAATATTAGTTTTTTAAAAAATTAATTAATTTTTAATTTATTATGTTAGAAAGAGACAGAAAAATGATGTGCTAGTGTTATCAAGAAAAATGTTGAACTTTTATTTTTACGTAGAGAGAGAGAGGGGTAAATATAATTTGACTTTTAAGTAATTTTTATTTTTTTAACTTATGATTTTTAGGTTTTTAATGTTATGAATTGGATCATAGACCCAAATTATTACAATAAAAATTTTGATTGTATTTAATTTTTTCGGCCATTTTTTTTAAGGTTTAAAATTTAAAGGATTTAAATTTTTTCTGAGTTAGTAATATACTTAAAATTATTGGGTCTTCTAAAAATTTGAGGCCTAAAGCCCAAACTTTTTTTTTTTTTAATGCTGTTGAGCCGCACCCGTAAATAGTCGTATGATGAAATAAAAATAGTATTGAGATGTAATTTACTAAAATTAAGCTCTAATTAAGTTGTTCTTATGAAAATTGATTTCTATATTGAATTTTGATTTTTGACAGATTCTGATCAAATCTATTGGATGATTACATTGGATTCAAACTCGAGTTTTCATATGGGATTCAAATATGGATCACAAAATATTCTATTAGAATCTACTCCGACCAATGACCAATTGAAGAGTCAGAGACTATACTATAAAACCCTCAATCATGCTCATGCAAGTTGAATAGGATGTATATACTTTCGCCCATTAAAGAGAATTCAACACTCCACAAAAAAACATTACGAGTCGGCCCTGGACTTGAGGAAGGAAAATGCCATTTATGGGTATTTCAAACGAGATATGTCAATGGGGCATTACTTCGTTCTCGTGTTCTTGAATCGATTAGAGTGGAATAATGAATCGATTTCTTCGGCTCTTTGCCAATATATCAGAATTTTATGTAAGTGTGGCCGGATAGATGAAATTGCAACGACCAGTTGAAAATAGCAAAACCATCTCTCTTTACATGATAGAGAAGTAAAGCACACATCTATTATTTTCACAAAGAAACACGACACATGGTCAACACAGAAGCAGTTCATCATAAACTAATACCGAACTGTAGCACATACACCGATTATTCTGATAAATGAATAAGATTACACACTCAATATGAACTCAAGCCACAACAGGGCAAAAAGCTGTCAACACTTGCAATTTTATTCTCTCACAGTTTCACCATTCTCTCTTTCAGTGATCTCCACACTTGCACTGTCCAACTGCTCTATCGTCAGCCTTGTTATCGTTCTGATTCAACAATTCTGATATTCTTACAGCCAGACTCTGCTTTGCTTCAGGGGAAACACCATGCTTCCCGATGATCGACTCCAGCACTGCTTCTGACAATTGTTTGTTTTCTATGGTTGCGTTCCCAACATCAGGTATGGTGTCATCTATGGAGAAGCTGATCTGTAGTTAGACAAAGGAGGACACAACAGAGAAGAAAACATATTAAAGATTATACCAATATGGTTATCATCATTATCATTTGGGTGATCAAATGGAAACAGGTTAGGAATGTTGCACCAGTAGTTGAATCAAATGAACTAATCCTCTATCTGTCTTTATACTTCCTTTTCGCAGTTTTTGCTAGCCGTAAAAATGCATTGTTTTGGTTATAAAAGTGTGATAAAGGCTTGATGAAATTATCACCCCTACCTATTTATCTCTGTGCTCTTGTTCAGCATACTCGGGTGGTGCTAGTATTATGAGAAACTACTAGCCGAATTGAATTGATTCTATAACTGGCAAATCTTAAGCAAATCTACTAAAGCATAACTTCTTTATTTTGAAGAAAAAAGCAACAGCATTGAGGTTCTAGAAGAAAACCACTTCTCGAAGCCCTAACAGTTGTGTGAAGCTAACTGAAATATTCAGTATAATACCACATTTGACAATGGTCACAACACAGACTGGTTTTACAAGGTCCCCTCATTATAGAGACCATATGACATAAAATTGGTGATTAATAAAGTCTATGGCAGAAGATGGCTATCTCTAAGGCTTGAGTAATGCTGCTGCTAAGGAAAAAGCTGAGATACACATGACCTATTCAATATTCCAAATGGGTATAGTTGAATTGAAACACATCAGATTAAAATTAAAATGTTCTGCTTATGTGAAATGATCAAAAGATGAAGCGTAATATTGAATTTAAGTATGAGATATTTTACCACCTACCGTTAACGATCCAAGGGGTGATAGGGTGAAAAGAATAGATGAGCCAGGTGGGAAAGTTTCATCCTTGAACAACTCAANTTTATATCTAATCTTCTTGCATGATTAATTTGTTCAATTTATTTTTATATGTAGATGGAGGGGAATACAACTTTTGTTGATGCTACACAAGTGATTGATGACCCTATGCAGACTAATAACAATGAGAAATCTGAAAATAAAAAACCAAGGAAGTCAAAAGTGTGGAATCATTTCAAACTGCTAGAGAGGAAAAAAGACCAAGTTCGCAAAGCGGAGTGCAAATACTGTCACAAGGGTTATCAATGTGATTCTAAGAAGCATGGTACGTCATCCCTTACACTTCATGTGAACCACAGTTGCACAAAATTTTCTGGTAGAATGTGAATAAAAGTCAACAATTGTTAAGTTTTGAGAAAAAAACCAGAGGGAGATTTAGGTCTTAGCAATGTCGTGATTCATAAGTTTAATCAAGAAACTTCAAGACTGACACTTGCATAAATGGTTATTATGGATGAATTGTCTTTTCGAGTTGTGGAAGCCCATGGCTTTAAAAGGTTTTGAAGGACACTAGAGCCAAAGTTTCAAGTTCCGTCTCGCACGACTGTTGCTAGAGACTGCATCAAACTTTATCAAAATGAAAGGGATAAGTCATAGAAAATTCTTGGGTCCTCAGCTAATAGGTTTAGTTTCACAACTGATAGATGAACNCTTTGCCCTCTGCATCAGTGTAGATTCCAGCTGCTTTCCAATGCACAACACAATTTTCTGCTACCTTCTCGGAATATTGCTTACCCGTTAATGGCAAAATCATTGTAACCTTTATGAATTTCTCAAAGGCACCTACGGATAGGTAGTGACAATGATTTAGAATTAAAGAAAGTGAGCATCTACACCCAGAAATATAAAAATAAAAAATCTGCATACACCATTTACATTGTCAGAGAACACCAAAATTTTAACATTGTACTTGTTTCGGATGCCTAATTAGTAACAAAAGGAATTGGTGTTTTATAGGAGTGAAATGTTAGAGTTGGCAACAATCCATTGTCAGTGGTAAGATATAAAATCTTTTGTTTCGATGACGGAGGTTTTTACTCATCACCTGTAACGATGTCCCTGAAGAACTCAACGGACTCCGTCAACTCCTCTGTTGTCTTACCCTTCCAGTTAACGGCGAGTGACGAAACGGCGTTATCCGCCAAATACACACCAATGGCCGTAAACTTTACAAACTTGCCTCCTATTTCCAAACCTCTCGCCCCTGCACACATTAGACATAACCACCATCAAGATCAAATAATACACTAGAAATAGCCAACCAAAGTACCTCAGTTATGCTGCACCACTAATGCCAAGTTTATAAACCTGCGCCACCGAGGAACAAGGTTTTGGTCGATCCCGGCGGCTTCACCGTCGGCGGGAACACGTAGCTCTCGACTTGTACTCCGGTGACGGACGGTGACGGAGACATGTCTCACTGCTTTTTCGTCACCACTGTACTTGCTTGTTTTAACTGCTTAACGGCAAACGGTAAGATAGCTGCTGCTGCATCATTGTTGTTCTTCGATATTTATAGAGAGCGATGACAGTTTTGGAATTTGGAGGCAGATTAATGGTAGGGCTTGACGGACTGCCGAACGGAACATTTAAGGCGGGTAGGGATAGATTTGTCCGGTGTGACAGTGAGACCGATGGATGGGTGGTTTGGTGGTGCTGTGAAACGTGGCATAATCTTCGCCGTTTACTCTACTTACTACATTCAACTTTAGATATTGATTAGGCCAATTGAATCCAAACTATATCGGGATGAAATCTCATCCAATACAATTCAAAAAAAAAAAAAATCTCATCCAATACATTTCTTTTTGGATAAAATTATGTACACCAAAATGTCCAACAAATCATCTACAGTCGTTGAATTAGTAACGAGATCTATTGATTCGACAATTACAAATGATTTAATATACAATTTCGGTATATTTTTAGTGTGCATAACATTGCTTTATATTTTTTTTAATTATCTTTTTAACGAATCATTTACTACTATAACCAATTATATAGGGAAAAATATTATTTTGATTTAATTTGTGGACTAAGGCCCTATGACATTGCTCTTTTATACAAGTGGATCCAAAACTCTTCAAATATGTTTTTTATTCAATTTTCTTATTGACATATAATGCCACTGTTAATGAATGATGAGTTCAGTTATATATAATATATCTCAATTAAATACGTGATACGTGACCCGACAATAAGAGGGTTAAAGATAAAATGTATTGAATAGAATCTCACTTTTTATATAAGTGAAGGACATTAATGGTAGTAAAAAATAGTTAAAATAAAATATATTGAAGAGAATTTGAAGCACATAAACATCTATCTCATTGACTTTTAGATATATATTCAATCTAATCGAGATAACATTAAATTTCATCGAATTACCATTCAATTTAATCATATTTGCACCAAGTTGTTATTCAACTTTATCAATTTAAAATATTATTTCAACAAATTAAAACCAAATTGACCTTCAATTTCAATCAATTAACATTTAATTTTATCAAATTGATATCACTTGATTAATTTAGAATGAAATTAATATTTAATTTCATCAATCACACACTAAATTGACTTTTAATTATATCAAGTTAACATAATTTCACCAAATCAATACTCTATTATATCCAATTAACATTCAATTAATAAATAATTTTATTAATTTAAAATTTTAATTTCAAGAAATAAAGATTCAATCACACACAAGAATGGAACCAAAAAAAAGTGAACCAAAGGTTTTATATTCGGTTTCATATAGGAATGGAACCAAAATGAAGTGAATCAAATGTTGTATATTTCAAAATTTTGACCAGATTTTTTCAAATGTACTCGTTTGTCTCTGTCACAACTTCACTTGATATCAGATACAATTTTTGCATAGTTGCTCGTAAAGTTGTTATGTTTTTGGAGATGTGTTATGTAAGGTAAAATGTGAGAACACAACATTGGTTATTGCAATTTTGGTGGACCTTGTTTCTCTTATACTCCGTCACCACGCATGTACACATACCGTTCTTAAATGGAAAATGCTACATAATCCAAATGAAACCCAAAAAGTTATAACCCAATCAATATCATCCCTCGGATAAGTAGGTTTCATTGAAAAAATGGATGGGATCTATTCATAAAAAAGATGATATGCATTTAGGTTATAACTTTTTAGATTTTATTTGGATTTTGTAGCATTGCTCTTTTTAAATAGGGCAGCAGGAGGTCGACAAGGAGTGGCAAATGAACACTCTTAATTCCCCACACTTGTTATGCTTTTACGATTGTTCATTTACAGTATAAAAATTTTGCTTCTATTAAAGGTAGGAAAACAATGTCTTCAAACTGTTGTATAACTCCATTATTGAACTCTCATGGACAAGAGTTAGCTTCTTTCCTTCTTTTGAGTATTGTTGAAATCGCACTAACCTAAATTATATTGCAATATAAGAGCACCCAACTTCTCCTTGGTGTCCTTTCTTGAGTCATCACCGTTATATTATACAATGTGTTTAATGCTTCAAATGGTTTATGTGCAACGCACGTATACACCTAACTAGTTAATTTAGATGACTATAACAAATTACATCATCAATTTAGACCATATAACATTCCTCTTTTAAAAACCATTGAGACAACATTAACATTTCACCACAAATGGGTTTGTTTAGAATTAACTTAAATAAGTAATTTTTAAGGGTTTTGAAATAAAATAAATTAGGTTTGTTTGAACCTTGACTTTTTTACTAGCTTATGCAGCATTGTTTTGGACTCAAAAAAAACTTAGTTAGGCTGATTCAAAAGCTGATTTTATAAGTTTTTCTTCCAACTTTTTGGAGTTTTGTCGCAGGTCTCACATAACTTTTTAGTTTAATATATTCATAAAGTATTATTAGTGATGTAAAAAAAATTACATTTTGGGAACTATTATGCACAATTTATATATATATGTAATTATTTTTTTTATTTTGACACAAAAAGCCAAAAATTCACTCCAAACGGATTTTTTCAACTTTACATGCTTTTTAAACACCGCCAAACAATTTTGTAGGACTTTTTTCGCTCTGACTTTTTTGTGAAGCTTTTCAAATCGCAGTTTTTCACCTACAACTCCAAAAATGCCCAATAAATACACTCTGCAAGGCCACTGGTAGTAGCCGCACTCCAAGTGATGGCTAATTATTGGTTCTTCAAGTTTTGAATGAAAATTGTTTCTAATCTTCCTTCCCATGCTAATTGGCCTAAAATCAACCTTTTCTTCTCATGGAGGCAATTAAAACAATAATTATTTTAAAAAGTTTAATTTTCTAGGGCCTTCAACCTAATCTTTAGCAAGGGACCATCTTAGCCTAGTTTTAATTTAATCTTACATTTGCTTTATATCAATGTTAATGAGCTAGGTGGGTGATATGAAAAGCAAGAAATAAGATGATTTTTAAGTATCAAACACCTAACCTTGTAGCTACCATTTGCAGAGTATAGAGCCCTTGGGGGATCCCTATTCACCTACCTTGTGCATAACAACCAAGATTGAAGCAGAGCCCATCAAATGCTCCATCAACTAGTAACCTTTTCAAATTGAATTGTGATGGAGCATTCAGATAGGGATTAGAGAAAGAATCATTGGGAGTGGTAGTTAGAAAGCATCACGAGGACAAGGACAGTTTCGATCTTGTATGCTGAAGCAGCGACAGTGAGGGAGGCATGCTTATTGCAATGGCACACGCGTTGGAGGAAGCGCTAATTGAGAGTGATACCTAAGAGATCATTGAGCTCAGTGCCAACGAAGATGAACATCTGTGGAAAATAGCAATGGTTGTGGAAGACATCCGCTTATGTGTTTTAGTGTGGAAATTGAATGTCTCTTATCACCCAGGAGCTTTGAGTAGAGTAGTTCACTGGGCCGTGATACAAACTCCCAAAAGACAAAATTTCCCTTAATTGGTATTAAGGTTCAATCTTATTTGATGATTGTAACCTTTCAACAAGTCAATGAAATATCTTATGATAAAAAAATGTTAAAGATGATGACATGGTACTGTGAAACACAAAAAATGCACCCCCAATTAGGGCAGTGCAAAATATCCGATAACCTGAAAATTCGATCCGGAACCGAACCTTTCGAACAGAAAACGGGCAGATAATATTTATTTCGGGTTGGTTTCGGTAGAAAATAAAGATTAACCGATAAAATCGGTTCGGATTCAAATACCATCAAGTCCAAAACTGAAATAACCGACTCGCCCGAATAGTATTTAATAATAATAATATATATATACACGGTCTGGATTTTTCCTTTAAAAAAAATAAAAAAACAAAAATATAAAAGCAAACTAACCCTACTTTCACTACTCAGTCTTTCTTCCCTTCCGCCGCTTCTCTCTTCTCTCTCTCACAAACGAACAAATCTGAGATCTGAAGACTCAAGGTCGTATATCTCATCCCTATCGAGCAGATCTCAACCCTTTTTTCTTTGACTAGTAAATTTCTTTTTTATTATCTCTGATTATCCATCTCCTTGAATAATTTTTTTTTTTTTGGTCTTGAAACTCAGTGCTCGAAATCAGTGAATTTTTTTGGTCTTGAAAGGTTTTCATTTGTTGAAACTTAGTGCTCGAAAGGTTTTCGGTGAGTTTTTTTAGTCTTGAAAGGTTTTTTGCTTTGGAAATTTTGGTTGGTTTTTAAAAAAGAGTAATGTTACATAAACTTAAAAACTAGACTTAAAAATTAGACTTTATAATCTCAACCATTAAATAGGTAGTGGGTCTCAATAAATGCTGGGACCTACAGTGAAATCAATGGTTGAGATTATTAAGTCTAATTTTTAAGTCTACTTTTTAAGTCCATGTAACATTGCTCTTTAAAAAAAGGTTTCACTTTTTGGTTTTATCTTATACTGGTTATAGGCTTGTAGCTTGGTTGTTGAGCATTTTGGCCTTGCATTTCTAGTTTTGGTGAGTCTTGAAACTCAGTGCTCGAAAACAGTGAGTTTTTCATCAATTTATTTATTTATTTATTTTTCCTTGCTCTCTAATTTCTTTCACACATTTTCTAAAAACTTTTTTTTTTTTTTGGTCTTGAAACTCACTCAGTGAGTTTTTTGCATTTCTACTTTAAAGTTGAAACTCAGTCATTGCCATCAATTTTTATTTTTTTTTTCATTTTTTGGTCTTGAAACTCAGTCACTGCCATAATTATTTTTTCATTTTTTTCCTTGCTTTTTAATTTCTTATACACATTGTTTGAATACATTTTTTTTTGTCTTGAAACTCACTGCTTCACTCTATCTATCTGCAACAATCAAGTTAAAACTCATTTTTCTGATCATAAATAATTAAACATTCAGATCTATCTATTTTTTTGGATATCAGATCATATATTATTTATGTATGTTCTCTTTTTGTGTGTTATCTAATTCGTGCT